GAACGTGCACTGAGAAATCCAAAGCTGATACAGGATGCACTCCAGGAAATTTTTCAAACAGCTTAAATTTGGGCAGTAGGTCTGTGCCTTCCTCTGTACGTATGCAGGAATGTAAAGTGAAATGCAGTAGCCATCCCCCTCCAGAATATTCCCAGCAAACTAAAGATCCTCCTCTAGCAGGGGATGCCTATGGTCTCCTCGAGGGTGTTGATTAGAAGACAAGTGTAGTCTCTACAATATATAAAGGCAGCGCAGGGAACCGTGCCGGGCATCGTCTCTCTGGCATCAGAGGCACCTGTACAGTTTGTTGCTGTTTATTTGGCAAGGTTACAAGTAATACTTCTAGGTTTCTTTAACAAAATAAAAAGAGAGTTTGCATAGATTGTACATTCAGTTCAAGGAGATTTCTGGTACCTTTTTCTTTGTTGTTGTCAGGTAAACGTGTTTGCAGACGGAGTGAGGTAGCAGCTGTGATTGATAGCACCCATGAGCAAAAGAAGGTAAGCAAGGCCGAAGCGAAGAGCAGTGAGGGAGCTGCAAAATACCAGCCTAATCAAGGGGGCACCTGCAGGACCAGGGACACGGCTGAGGGTCTGGCAGCACCCGCTTCTCTGGAGAAGCCCCAATTCCCCCACGGCCCTGGAGCTGGGTCCGACCTGGCTGCCTCRGCCTTCAGCGCTGCCTCCTTCCCCCACACTGGGCATCTCCTGCCCTCCACACCTTGGACAGGGGTTATGGAGGAGCCCTGGCTGGCCGGGAATTCCCTGGCCAGATCCGCCCGCTCACCGGGCAGCCGCGCTGCCTTGGCAGGTGCCAAGCACCGAGCATTACTTAGTGCGTGGGAGTCTTTTTTATGTGATGTTTTCAGTCATCATTTAATAGAGGTTTAAGGTGAAATGAACCTTAAGACTATCTTGGAGGCCTGTTGTCTAGCTGAGATAAAAGCACATTTTAAAATAGCAGCTTTTCACTGCTAGAATGAAGCCAACGTTGCTGGGAGAAACTTCTCACTGCTCCCTAGGAGCTCAGCCTTCCTGGGCGGCCAACCAACCCGCTACCCTGCCTGGGTGCACTACAGCCCACGGCGCAGCGAGGCCGCGGTCCCTGCCCCYTCTTGTACAGGCTCCTTGGTGTGGGCCAGGGCCCTGCAAAGCAAACGCTCCTCAGTCACAGCAGCTCCCACCAGCCTCCTGCTCGCTGGGAGCCACGGAGTGGCCGCGGGCTCCTCGCTGCCAGCTCGGGGAGCTGGGCAAGGCGGTGGCCGCGCCAGCCGGCGGGAGCGGGCAGCCCTCTCACAGCTGCTGTGCCGGAGATGCACTGAAATCAGGAGAAACTGGGTCCCTGTTGTCCGGACACAGTAAAAATCTGGACTTTATTTCTGATGTGGGCAGTCGAAGCTACGTCTCATCACAGCAACATTGCTCAGCCTCACGGGCTAGAAAAGGTGGAAGGTGCTCAGTTTGCTCAAAGTTTCCCTGCGCACAACTGTGCCAAACTACAGCAAAGTTTATGACCCTTCCTGCCCCACTTCAGCCTGGWGCTGAATTCCCTCCTCTGATTCCCTGACTTCACTCCTCTGCTTGCTGCAAGAAGGGCTGGGAGAGCTTGAGACGACCTTCGGATTGCAACTGGTGCAGGTGAGTTCACATTCATGGGCCCTTGGGAAGGAGCTGCAGGGTCACTGTTACTTTCTCCTTAAACAACTGTCCACACACTGGCACCTGTGGGAAAGCCAGTCTGTGACACAYGGATGCACAGGCCTGTATCTCCACGCCTCGCAGTGCAAAGCACAGAGATAGAGATGGACACCCTACTTGCTGTGACAGAAAGTTGTTACTCTCTCTGCTTGTAGAGAGCACAAAAAAGTAGACATAATTTCAATTCTTAAAAAAAAAAAAAAAAGCACTTTGTATATCAGAAAATAAAAATATAAATATTACTACTCCATGTCCAAAGGTCAAGAAAAACTGGATGCATCTAAAAATTAACTGTTGTTTGAGCTATTTCTACTGCCTGAAGGTTTAACACTACTGTATAAACAGGTAGCATTTTGTTAAGACTGACTTGGGATATAATTCATTAAAATATGTAAATGGCTGTTGTGCATTTTGCCACATCTCCTTTCCATGTCATAGTGATTGATCACAGAAGTGGAATGTGGCAATCTAGCAGAACGGGCAAAAAATTTAAATCAGCAAAGCATTACACAGAGGACAAATGTGTGCATATGGAAATAAAGCTGTTTCCCACAGAAAAGGATTTGGATTAAAGCTGCCTTCCAGACGGAGCCCTCATCCGAAAGGACATGCCAGCACGATTGGAAAACAACAGCAGAATATTCACGTGAAGATGCCTAACCTGCTTGTTTAGTATGAACTRTGGGGCTCTGTTCTGAATTCTCCTTTTGACCAAATGTAACATCTGTGACATCCTTCTCCTAGAACAAAACGTGATATTCCCGACAGGCTTCAAGCGCCTGCAGTGCCTGAGCCAGAAGAGGCGCGAAGCAGAGCCGGGTCCCAGCAGCGCCGGGCGCTGCACTTGGCAACTCAGACACCGTGTCCCGTATATAACCTGTGTATCTGTGTCTGCAGATTAAGAGCTGTGGTGGAGGGTTCTCACATAGGTCCAGAATGTGACACTCACTGCAAAAGATGCTCCAAACAGATCCCGTGATGATTTCAACCACACGTTGTATTTATTCACAGCACATTGTCACGCCTCCCACTGATGCGGGGTTGGACGCTGAAGTCCTTACTCAGGCCCAGTGCTCCATGGAGGTGTTGCCTGAGGAAGGACCAGCCTCTCCAGCAAACATCAAAGCTTTTAAGAGCAGCACCGAACTGCCAGCTTGCTACAGAGCTTCATGGTGCCGATGCTTTTTGTCTTTTAGAAAACAAACTAATAGAAAATATTTCTTTGAGCTATTTTAAACATAGTACATAATGTTAGTAGATGTATCAGCAAATATTTTATTTCTTTTCTTTAAACCAAAGTAATTTGAACCTTAAATTTTAAATGATAAAAGTGGCATTTTTTTTCTAATCACAAAAGTGGATTGTTGCCACCTGCTCAACACATTTCAAAATGAGAACTTCTCAACAAAGCACTTAAGAACATTCCTGTTTAAGAATAAAAAAGAAGGTATCAAATTTAAAAAACAGATTATCTGAATGTGGGCGCACCCTTACACATATGCTCATGTGCAAGACAGCCTGGATTTTGCAACTACCCCGGTACTTCTTTTATCAAGAATGCTCACTGACGAGGCTCGGTACCGTGTGCCCTAAACGTGATGCTCTCCGTTGATGGGCAGGGCTTGACCCTGCTCTTGCCACTGGAGCCCTGTGCCTAAAGCCCTGGATTTCACAGTGAGGAATGGTGGGCCCCAGGAAACTTGACCTTCATGATGGAAAATTCCATGAAAAAGAAGTATTATTAAAAAACAAACAAACCAACAAACATAAAAAACTACGGAATGAGTAACAATACTGTGTTTCTATTACAAAAACCCGTTGGCAACCCTGGTTTTAAACACATTTGACTCTAGAGCCAGTTGAAAATCAGGAACGTTATTTTGACAGAAACATTTCAACCAGCTCTCAYTGCTACAAGCGTTGCTAAACCTACAGCTCCCAGGACTGTCAAAACCAGGCAGGAAAAGGGCAAGGGAGGTGTGAAGGGAGGAAGGCCTTCTCTTAATAAAGGCAGCTTCAGTTAGTAAGATAACGTAATCTTCAAGCTGCAAAAGCAGCACCTACTAATTAGTCATTGACTAAAACATAAATAATAAATATCTAAATTGTTCCTTCTATGGATCCATTTTTGTGCCAGATAAACATTTAAATGCTCTGCTTTAATGCCAGCACAGCTGACACTGCAATATCAAGTCCAAAGCAAACTGCAAGTAGCTTTAAACCAACACTATGGAGAGAAACGTAACGAGCCACCAGGACCTGCATGTTATGGTCATTCGCAATTGCTGTTTAAAAGGGAATTCAACCTTTCTGTGCGATACAATTACAGAATGATTTAAGGGGCTGTTTCCCTCCTCATGTGGAAGCKTAACTCTCATCAGCAGAAAGGAAAGTTATACATGCATATAAGAAGGGTAAAAGGCTACCTTACTTCACTAAATTAACAAGGGGTTTTATAATTAACCCAACAGCTTCTAATGGCCTTTTTGGGTTACATTGTCATCAAGAGATTACCACAGCAACAACAACAACAAAGTGCACATCCTATGCAAATGCAAAATGTGTTATTTGGAGATGTGTTTGCATATAAAAACAGGTATTCTAAAAAAACTGCTGGAATGTAAATAGTTTTTGCTTGTATAGAAAAATGCAGGTTAAAATGATGTTGAGATGTACATAGTGAAAACAAGATGCAGCCTGCTACAAAGTCAAAACCTGAACACAGGCAAAGGTAGGGCTTGTTTTGGCAGAGTACAGAACAGCACCGGGAAACACAGCGTTGCTCACCACCAAATTCAGCTCCTGGCCTTGCTCAGGAACCAGCCTGTCCTGCTCACCATGACCTCCCACATGCCCAGCTCTCAAAAAGAGCCGTTTTCACCAGGAGCTGGCAGATCTAAGATCAAGCTGGSAAATTAGTGTTAAGACTCATCAGCTACTGCTCAAATCTGGGAAGAATCAGTTTGCTGCAACTTTAGGGCCCAAWTTTGTTTCCTTGGAGAAAACTGGTCCAGCTCTGAAGTGCAAAGGGCCAAATTCCACCATTTCAGTGGTCTGGAGGAACCAAACTGCTGCTTCATGAGAAGACTCAGCACGTGGGTGAGCAGCCCATCATGAGCCAGCCCCGAGGCCACCTCCACTCACTGCAAACAGGCTTAAGAAAAAGCACACGAAAAAGGGGATGGAATCAAAAAAATGCTGCTTTGCTTAAAAAAAAAAAAAAAAAAAAGCTAGTACCAGGAGCCTGAAGCTGACTGCATGAGCAAATCTACAATTGCAAACACTGGTTTCATCTAGAGCTTATCAGGAAATTAATCTGAAAATAACACTGCTTTTGCTCATTTTTCCCCTCACTAGGGCATCTGCAGACATGAGCCGAGTCCAGACTCTGTGTTATAAGGTAATAACGAGGAAGGGTGCGTGCCACAAAGCTTATGTTCTGTAAGGTGAAGGAGCCATACAGGATATAGCCTGCAGTAACCAACCTTCCCAAGAAACATAAATACAAGGGACTTTTGCTGTGATTTAGTCATGATAGAAAATTAAAGCCTATGAAACAGCAGAAATACATGTAAATTTATTAAAAACAAACAAACAAAAAAAAACCTTTCAGCAGCTGTTCCTTCACTGCCCTCTCCTTGGCTTGTTTGTGCTCCCGGTGCTGTGGAGGCCACTGGCTCCATGCAGCGCGGGGCGGCCATGGCCCGGCCAGCCCCACGGAGGCTGGCGGAGAGACCAGTGCCAAAGGCCTTGTCAGATTCCGAGGAATTATATTGCAACTGGTAACAACAAGGTATAACGTTTCCTTAGGCTTCTGAAATCTGCCATGAGACTCACACGTGAGCAAGGTTAAATTCCCTTTTCAAACCTATGCCGGAGAAGCGCGCACACCGGCTGCTACCTCAGGCGGCCGTCGGGTTTCACGGGGCCCAGCTCGGACTTGGGGTCGGGGCTCAGGGAGCTCCACGCCGTCTGGCTGCAGGCCTGCATCACCGGGCACGAGGTGGCCCCGCTGCTGCACACGTCCACGGCCGACCACGTGCTGCCCACCAGCGAGTCAACCCAGCTCTCCAGTTTGGAACCCACGAGCGCTGCATTCCTCCGGGCCTGGTCCAGCTGYGCGGCGCTCACGGGGATATTTAGGACGGGGTTCAGGCCCTGGAAGCTCTGTTCCATGTATGCGTTCCTCGGAGGCCCGCTGTGATGCTTCAAAGCTTCCTCTGGAAATGCAAAAAGAAACACCTGAGTTAGCGAGRCAAAGATTCCTCCAGGGCTAAGGTCACAGCAAACAAAAAGGTGGTGTGTTGGCCTGGTCTGCACAMTACACAGCGGAAAGGTGGACGCAGCCTCGTGGACGTCCTGTCTGGGGCCTCAGTAAAAGCCCCTCGCGGTACCTGGACCATGGACAATGTGCATCTGCCTCTCAGGAGAGGCTAGTCTTGCGTTCAGAAGTGACCTTTAAGTCTTTCATCATGGAGGAGGCGGAGATGAGCCCCTCTTGGCTCTGCAGACACCATTCCCTGGAATTACGAAACGGCTCCAGGGTATTTGCTGTGAGGAGGCCGCCCAGCCTCGAAGTGCTGTCACTGATTTGGCTAAGAAAAACAACTAACATCTCAGCTGTTTTCCTTTTTTTTTTTTTTTTAATTCCCTAACCAGATCCACCCTTTGGAGGGCTGAGAGGCCGTCACAGTGCTCACTGGCTCAGTTTGCCTGCAGAAGCTGGTGGGAGTCGCTCCCGGCAGGGGCAGGATGGCAGCACCGCATCGGCCACACCGGGCTGGGCTCACGAAGTATTCAACCCCAGCGCTGAACACTTCCTGAGCCCAGGAAGGTTCGCCAGACTTACGAGGTTCGCTCGGGAGGTACGCCAGCCTTACTGGGGAATACGCTTTAATCACAATCATATTTCAAGCTTTTCTGCCAAATAACGGATCAAAAACACTTCCTAATGACGCTTTTCTTTGCACCACGGTTGTTTTTCTTACCATGATTCTTTCACTTCAGCAAAATGCAGCTTATTCCTCAAATCTGTGATACTGTACTAAAAAATGTCTGCCACCACTGTGCTGGCCCCTAAAGCACCGGGCTGGACGTTCTGGGTCAGGCAGCCCTGCTCTGGGGCTCCCTCACGCCCACGTCTGCGTGCACCGAGGGCTCCTCATGCAGTCAGCGGGCAACCCTCTCCAAATATTCCCTCTGCCCCTGGGGAGGGCATTTTCAAACATTTCTTTCTGTTCTCAGTTGACTCCCTTTGCCGTCCTCCCTCCGCAGCACAGAGGCCGCGTTGAGCTCTGCCAACGCACACAGCGTCTAGAGCACAAAAAGGGCCCATTCAGGGCCCTCCAGGCTGGGGAAGCCGCAGCGCCCAGACACCCTCAGAGGCCAGGAATTAAACATTAGTGGCTCCAATTCCTTCCACATGGCCCTGCGGCTTGTGCTGCAGATTGACACTGACTCCTTTCTTCTAGGCGGAGGACAGTATCTCAGATGCTGGCAATAAATCAGTACATTTATTTAGAGGGAAAGGGGACATTTAATTGGGAATTTGCTCTTACATTTTGCAGAGTCTTTCATGTCAGATATTGTGCAAGTCCATTACTTAAAAACCCCAATTAAATTAATTCGGCACATCCCCATTATGTATCACTTACTGCTCCTGTACCCATCAAAAGCTCTCTTTTATTTTAAATGGTAGATTTTCACAATAACCTCTAGTCAAAACAAGCTTCTGCTAAGCACATGTGTGAAGAGTGTGCTCTGCCAGAGTACTGCAGTTTAAGAAACAGAACAAGTACACATGATTAAATTTCCCCCTTTGGAAGCAATTAAATATGGAAGACTGTTTGTCAACATATTAATTAAATAGGAACGTTCTAAGTAAAAATCCCCAAACAAATAAGAGTTGGCATTACTAGCAGGATCATCTGATTGAAATGGGCAATTTAGAGAGCTCGTTGAATTAAGGGCTGTTGTGCATGTGTTTATTGTAGGGAAGGAGATGCTTTTCCAGACAGTGGGATGAGACGGAACCTGCTCTGCTCCAGTCCCCGATCTCTGATATATCCCACCAACTTCATGACTATGTGGAAAGGAAGAAGGGAAAGAAACATGCCAAAAACACAGGAGTTGGTGGTAGTCACTAGCAGGAAGTGACCACCCTCTCTGAAGGAAAAGTAAATGAAGCAGAGGCTAACGGGGAAAAAGCCCACAATGCTTCTCAGGGTGTTCAGGGCTGCTTCTCAGTGGGAGGGACCCGCATCCCCAGAGCTGCCTGCACTCCCTGCAGAGTGCTTAGGAAAAGCAGAGAACARCAGGAGCTCAGCAGGGACTGGAAGATCACTATTTTGGCATGATGTGCCTCAAAATTCTCCCCAATTTCTTCAGCACTCAGCAGTAGCTGCAGAGCCAAAAGGAAGATGGGGCAGTTTGACTCCTTCCCTCTGCTGTCAGACATGGAGAAAACGCCGTAGGGTGAGCTGCTTGACATAGATACTCAATTAGTATTTAGGGACTGACAGATCCCTCCTTTTTCACAAAAAAAATAATGAAGATTGTCAGGCTTTCCTCTATGAAATGTGTGCTTAGACTTTTGAAACTATGGTTAGATCAACCAACTCAAAATTAATAGAATTGCAGGCATTAAACCAGGCCTTTTCCTTTTTTTTTTTTTTTTTTTCTCCAGGAAATACATCCAAAAAGCCCTGACTTCAGTGGAGGATATAGGCTACGTATCAATGCAAAATACGTTCCATTGAGGTCAGTGTTGTTTTTTAAAAAATGAGTTATTTTGGTCCCCCATTTTTATTTGCTCTTCACACTGGGAGGGCCCTTCCCTTCTCAACTGACTTTTTAAACTSTACCTTCTTTGCAGCAAATACACAGGCCGCAGGCTGCGGCACAGGCCGGCACTTCAGCAGTTTTGTGGGGGTTTGCTCAGTATTTTGCAGAAAAAGCAAATGAAGTTAGACAGCCAGTGGGCTAAGGAATGAAAGATGTGGTTACCTTGGTACACATTAAGGTGCTAGACTGGTGATTTTTTTAAAACACTACTGAATGTACAGCTTTATTTCGTTACTTGAATTGTGTTGAAACCCTCTGGCGAGAAGGTAATTTTTTATTGGCATTTTGTTTGTTTTTTTTTTCCTCACAGCAAACAAGACAGAGCTGCATTTGCTCATTCCAGAGCTGATCGACTCCTTGTCAACTGGATCTGAACTAAATTTCAAAGCAAATCCCTGTCTTCGGGTTTTTTCTCAGCATGATGACTCCTGTGCCCCGCACTTGCCTGCTGCTATTACAGTATTTATCAGGAACGTGTCACACTATCACGAGGTAATTTAAAAAATTCACAGCAGTTCCAGCACTGGCCACCACCCACTTTATAATCCTTACAGATGCAATTAGAATTGATTGAGCCTCTGCAAATAACCAATGGCAAAATGAAAGATTCTCAGTATATACTTAATTAAGATGATCCATAAATATGGATTAAGCAAAAGGCCTTAGGAATGCATGGCTGTCTGCTAATGTCTTTGAGCCTTTGGGAGAGGCAGCTGCAGCTGGAGGAGGTTCCTGTGCAGAAACGAAGCCCCTTCTTTCCTTTTGTGCCCTTCTTATTTGAAGGAAGAASTGTTTTGTTTGTTTACTCCCTTTCCTATTTTTTTTTCCTTTTTTTCCTCCTGCCAATCCAGTGTTTGGTTTCAGCTTGGGCTTTGCAGCTTTATCTGCCTGTAACCTATTTAGCTTTAATGAAACAGGTACTGCCGCTAAACGCCTGACAACTCATTATCGTCCCTCCAGCTGGGAGAGCACTGTGAAAACTGCCGTGAACAGAAACTCCAATTTAAACCCGAAATTGCCCTGTCCGTTCCCCGCACCCCTTGGCCCCGAGTGCCGGCGCTGGCAGGACGGCTCCTCGGGGCACGGGGGCGCGCAGGGSAGCCCCTGCCGAGCGCTCGGCCTGTTCCCCAGTATCGCACCCTCCCTGGTGCCTGGGGTCGGGCTGAGAACTGCTGCCTCCCGCTGCGTGCTCACACACAAACCCTCCTTCTACTTCCCTCCAGTAGAAAAACAGCAATTCCCATGGGATTTTTATTTTTCCTAGCACAAATCTGAAACCTTAAGGGGATCTGTGGATGCTGTGCATCCCTTGGGTTGTGGGCGCTGCTCCCGTGGGTCCCTGGCCCCCTGCAAGCCCGGAGCAGGGTGGGCAGCAGGGCAGATCCAGGGCTCCAGGACCCTGGGCAGAGGCCGGGGTCACTCCCTGCCCAGTGTGCTGGTCCCGGGCTCWGCAGCCCCTGCGCGGGGACCGCGCTGCCCTCCACCATGTGTGCCCCTTGTTCCCTGAATAGAGATTTTACACAGAGCAATTTAACTTTGCTCTTGTCACGGACAAATTACACCCAAAGCCCCAGCCAGGGTGTGCGGCGGCCGTTCCTGCCGCCGGAGGGTACTGGAGAGCGCAGGCCTGGGCTCTGCCAGGCGATCGCATGCAAAGTGAGTGGAACGTGTGAATGGCGGCATTCAGTCACCTCCCGTGGGGAGCTCTTGGGTTCCCAGCGCGGTCTTTACAACAAGGGCTTTAATTGTGGGGGGGACACGCGAGAGGAGGAGGCCTGGTAGAACAATATTTTCAAGAAATCCCTAATATTCGTATTATTCCCTTCTGCTGACAACTCCTGCCTAGGTGTGATGCCTGTTTGATTTCCAGTGTTCAGACAAGACAATGCTATCCCTTCATTTTAGAAGATTTTTGGCAGCTGTCATATTGTTTACAACCGAACAGAAATTGTTCTTTTGGAAGTCCTAATTCTTCTGTCATCTTCTCACAATGCCTTTATTTGGCATAGAAAAATAAATTTAAATAATAAAGTGGTGTCAATCAGACACAAGCTGAAAATCAAAACTAGATGACATTTTTTTTACATTGAGTACTATAGTGTCACTGAGAGAGAAAACCTTAACAACCAAACAACTGAAATCTGCATTGTAAATGCTTATATAATTGTAACCACAGCGGAGTGTCATTATTTGCCCCTATAGTTAATTTTCTCCTTTACCTTCATGTCTCAGACATCTGGAGATTATACATCACAGCATCAGTAACAAATTATTCCTGAGGCGTTTTTCCTAGATAAAATATTTTTCTAGTTTTATATCTCATTCCTATAGCAGACTGTAATCACCATATGAAGGAACAAGGCTATTTAACCAGAAATAGATGCCTGAGCTTCTCCAAGGGAATCGATGGGTCATTTTTCTCTTTCTGCCCAAGTGGGCATACAGAGCGACTCTGCAATTGCAGAGAGTTAATCCAGATTCAGAGTTTGCAGCCCAGGGAATTTGAGTTGCAACATGGGGATTCCTGGGTGCAGGCTCAGAGCCCCCACTCTGGCCTTACAGGTAAAAGGCTGCAGATTTTATCACCAGCTGGCACTGCGCTGTGTTTCCCATTTGATTTTTGCCTTAACTGTTAAATTAGCCAAGAATATGGAATTCATTAAATTACAAGGGGCGAGTCAATAATATCTCTATTTAGAAGTAAGCTGCCTCAAACTTTAAGAAACCTTTCCTGCTTTCTGGGAGYGCTTCCTGCCACTTCATCACTGTCTATTAGCTAATGGCAGCAGCAGGTTGTCTATGCTTCAGTTTCTGCTTAAGAAACGATGCCACCAAATGTTAGAAGAAGAAATGAGTACGTTAGCTGTTGTGGCGGGAAATGTGCAGAACGAAGCTCCCGCCGCGCACGCTGAGGGCTGCGTTAGCTGCCAGCGGCTGCCTGCTGCTGTTTGCACTGCACACGCAGCACAGCTCACTGGAAGGGACACGCCTGACTCGGTTTATTTGCTGCCTTGTCAGGAAGAAGAACTTCTGAAAACTTAATAGGATCATTCATGTATCCAGCAACTTTAAGACGTCTAAAGTTATGAATATTGATATTAGACAGATGGAAGCACTTGAGCACATAAGGAGAATGGTGAAGTTATTCATAGCAACAGACTTGTTTTCATCTTACTGAATAAGAAAACAGGTGTGGCTACAAAATGTTCCCTCTTCCCACGGCCCCGTGTCCACGACGGTTGCCGAAGAACAGCCACATGAGCCTGTGCTCCTGCCTTCTGCTGGAAAACTGGGCGCGGGTCTGCTCCTGGGATTCTGGGATAYAGCCCTTGCATGAACATGGATTGCTGCAACTCAGCTGCTTGGCATTTAAGAAGCAGGTTTTGGCAGGTATTGGGGAAAAAATGGGYGCCTGGACCTGATAAATATGTCAAATACATATGAGTTCTGGGCTAGGGTCATTTTGACTAATTCAGCATTTCACATATAAATGCTTTTATCATTAAAACACATAGACTTTGTCAAAGTAAGAGGTTAAATGYCTGTACATTTCTCTGAGCAAGCGTGAATGAAAAGCAGCAGAGAGGAAATGCTCCATGTTTTTTTCCTATTTCTAAATTATGTTGTTTTATCATAACTGTTAGACTGTTGAGTCTTTAAAGTTCTTTGGATMCCAAACTATGCATATTTTAAAGATACAAATAGCCTTTTGTTCGAAGTGCTTGTGTTTTATGGACTGGATGCAGGCACTTTTGCTTGTCGTGGTACAACAATTCTTCTGATTTAATATCTAAAATATGCCTTTCTTTTCTCCTTTTCCAATACAGTGCAACTCCATTTTTAACAGCAACATTTATAGTGAATAAAGATGTGATAGCTATGCTATCTCTGGAACGAAATAATACAACTTACCTTGCTTGATAGGCTGCCGATTAATAAAGGTGAGAGGAGTAACGAGGAATTTGGTTTCAGCTACTTGTACCCAGTGGTGCAAAATTTTGATTGTCCAGACACCAGGTCGCAGAGGCAAATTCAAAGGTGGTTTGTAGTGAGTAAATTCTGCGCTGGATTCAATGAGGATGTCRTACGTTGCGGCAATTATATTGATGGGATCAACCCAAATGACAGTGACGGTGACGTTGGGGCCTTTTCCCCACTTCTGCATTCCCACCGGCTCGTCCATGGGTCCCAGGAGTCCCCCAAAGTTCCGGAAAAGCCTCTCCTTGGCATCCCACTCGGTGCCGATCTGAAACGAGAGCCCGTGTTGCTGCTTAGGCTTCCCCTGCAAACACACAGGGCCCCGGTAACAAATGAGGACCCCGCGATGCACAAACCGTACTTCTCTAATGACCATGAGCTAGRGAGAAAAACACACAGAGCCTGACCCTGCTGTAGAGGCCTTCCCTGCTCCACTGCAGGCACAGAGGCTTTTGCTGACCTCAGGAGAGGTGCAACCCCTGCCATCCCCTCGCACTCCCCGTTACTACCAGTTATTTCTGGTAAATTCAATCCTTACTGTCACAACAGTGACAGTTGTTTTTATTTATTCACTACCTAACAGTAAAGCAGCTGATTCACAATCTAGTGTAAATATTTAATAGATCTTTCCTTTTCCTAGCAGCTTTCACATTTCAATGCTTTATATATATTTTAATGCCTCACCCATAACCCATCGGATGATACCAACTTACACGCTGTTGCCATTAAACACTACTGAAAATAAGCATGTGTAACCAGATGGCATGGAAATCTATGTAATAATTGGACTCTTTAGGCCAACTGAAAGCCTCTTAYCACCCCAGTGGTATACCCCACTACTGCACCTAGTGTGTATTTATGATGTTAACAAAACCAATTCCTCCAGCTCTCAAGAAGGCAGTCTGGTGGAACATAGTATTGAATGTGTGTATTTGCTTTCAGACAAAGTGCCCAACTTGCTTAATCCGTGAGGTCCTTTTTTTAACCACGGCCTCAACTCAGAAGAGGAAAACGCCTTGGCTCCTTTTGGTAGAGAAACCTGTCATTCCTGGAGAGACACTCGGATGTCCTGATCAGCCTGCAACTGAAATCCCCCCCAATCCTTCAGGATTAACCCTTAATGCTTAATTTCCAAACAAACAAGGCAAATGACCTAATAGACATTTTCTTCCATAAGAAGCAACCTTGGGATTCTCTCAAGTGGTCCCTGGAGTCCCATGCACACACTGACTGGATCCTCTTCTTTCAGCATATGAGGACAGTGAAGGTTTCTCCAACACAGCCTCTGTTCTTGCCCTTAACCTTCACCTCAATGGAACCAAAGTCATAACCTGCTTCCCTGAAGGAGTAACAAGCAATTGTACCTGATTTGCTTGAAAGGCTTCTCTTCTAGATTTCATATCACTTGGTGAGAATGAGTGGCCTCAATCTAATGCCAAACTCCTACAAATACGTCAAACAAAGCAATTACCTGATGTCTACTACCACTGATACCTGGCAACTGATACCTGGCAACTGTCCAGTCCTCTAGTCTCTTCTAAGCAGATCCCTGTGGCTGGTAGAAGAATTACATAGGGACCGTAAGCAAAAAGCTACAAGGCCAAAAGAATAAAAAACTGAAGCTCTAAATCCATCTGTCAGAATACAGATTTCTCCTGCAGGACTATGACACTGCAGAGTAAGAGACAAAATGAGTCCTCTACTACTCTGCAATCACCACAGCGGAATCGCAGCTAGCAGAGGTATTTCTCCTGGCACAACAGCTAATCAGCCTAGRCAGCGTGGCCCAGATATCAGACCCAGGCACTGACTGCCCTGAAGAGCTGTCAGCGGGTACTCTCCTGACAAGACCAACTGAATATGTATGGAACTAAGCTGTGAAAGAAATTTTCCTGAGCAGATCTTATTATCTACTCCACCAACCTTCACTGAGCGTGGCCATGTCATACTGCTGTAGCTCAAGAGATCTAGAAATAATAAAGCCACAACATGTGAAACAAATACACACTCTTCTGGGCAAAGAAACTCCCCAGAGGAACAGCTCTTTCCGACAGTGTCTTTTACTGAAACATGTCTAAAGCAGCCCTTGAATAAAGTTCTCTTTCATCCTCAATATTACATGTTCAATCCTGACATCAGCTCTTGCCTCTGATGCCTGGGAAATCATACTGCATTCTCCATCCTCCACAAGCACTGACCCTTCTTAACAACCTTGTTGCACAAAGGATGTTGAGACATGTGCACGTACACAAAAATGCACGTGRGCTGTAGAAGAGTGGGAGGTCTGTAGAAGAGTACAAGTTACTCTTGGGATAAAATAGAAACATGCTCTGGGATGTGCCCAGTGGTGCTGCAGAAGAATTCGGGAGACCTCCAAGAAAGGAGCTCCTGGGTGAGAAAGCTGGCTCCAACTGAATGCAAGCAAGGCAACAGCCAGAGCTGCCACTGGTTTCTGAAGGAGAGGGAAGGTTTTGCATTGAGCATGTTTGCCATCAGCGATTAAAAACCTCAGAAAAACCTCGTTTGAATCAGTAAACTTTGAAATTAAAATGCTTTGTTTAAATCTGTATTTAAAAACGCTTTCYGTCTCTTCTAGTGTCATTTCTTCTTCCTGGGCCAGCACATGGACACAGGTCTCCTTGGATTCATCACCTTGAACTGAGTATCTATAATTCACTGTATCTGAAACTAATTGTGAGGATGATGCATGGGGTAAAGTCTGACCCACCTCACCGATGATTTACAGTGCCGTAAACACGTCAGACCCTGCTGTCGGCCTCCCATGCAGGCCCTGTTAATTTTCAAAGCAATTAATGGCTCAAGGTCTGGCTAAATTGAAGCTCATATTTCTATCTATGAAAGTGAACCTGTCTATAGCAATGCAAATCACAAAACTCATGAGAATGGAGGTAAAAAACATTATGTAGGGGTCTTGTTAACTAAGGATTTTCTACAGCCAGCAGAGAAATCCAAACTGGAACAATTTTCTCGAAATCCTGCAAGCCTGCTTCTTCAAGACAGTCTTTCCACCATTAGAATGACACCTCACCGAAAGACCATTCCCTTTGCCAGGAAAAAACTTTATCCAAATCAATCTATCCAGAAATCTATTCCAAAGAGCAATCTGAGCCTGGGGCTGGAGATGTAGCAGGGAGTTCATGCAAGCAGTGGCTGCTCCTGCTGCCAAAGGCGTGTGCTCAGCCCCGAGCATCAGCCAGCATAGAAACCCTGGGCTGCACATGAGGCCCATGGGCCCAAACCCAGGTGGACAGGGGTGTGACAGGAGCACACGCACCRTCCCGTGCAAAACCACAGGCACAAGAGAGGCAAGGGGAAGGGGCTGCCCACATCTGTTTACAACATCAGTCCTTCCTATCCAGCTCTGGCCTAGTACGGACTGCCCTGTGCTGCACAGCTTACAGTACCAGCTGGTTTTAGAAGCACAGTTTTATTTTATTTAAAGACAGTATTTAGAGGCTTATGCATCTTCCCCTGCACTTTACACAGCTGAATTCCTGGTACTGAGATGTCTGAATTTACAGGCTAGCAGACACTACAGCCCCATAATGTTTTTCATAGCCCCTTAAAACATCTCGAGTAGGCTTTCACTTTAAGTGCAATACACAAAGCACAGGAGGGAACCAAGCAGTAACAAATATCTGATATAATACAAAGGTACGTGGCACAGAAACATTTAACACATATTTGCGGTTTCCAGAGCAGGCAGCGAGCGCAGCTACACTTGGCAAGCGGCACCTCTCTCACTTGCTTAAAACTACTGTTTCTGTCTCCGTTCAGTCCCAAGATAAAATTTTCCCAAGATAAATTATGCCTTGATTATGGGTTTGTGTCTCATTGCTCACCACAAACAGGACCATTAGGTTCACACAATGCACGCTAATTGCCTGCCACCTAGTTTATTTTATTCTCTGTGATGAATCACAAGTCTTAACAAGGCCAGAAATGAACTTCATGTTCCACCGTTACAGTCAAAGCTGAGACTTTTAGTGCTCTACACCAAATCAATCTCCTGCCCTGCATGGAAAAGGTACCACGAAGCCAGAGCAGTCATAGGATACATGGTACGTGTATTATTTACAAGCCAATTTCAGGAGGTGCAGGAGTTTCCCAACAAAAAGGAGCACAGAGGTTTCACCCCTGGAAATCTTCTCTTGGATTTCCCATAGTTTTATGTAACTGCCTGAGASTGAGTGCAAGGGGCCCGGTGCAGCTGCAACGCTAGTTAACGCAGCTAGTGTTAACCCTACTAGTGTTAACCCTGCTAGGAGGTGCACAGGGCTTAGCTTTTCAGCAGAGCCAGGACTGCGGCAAATCCGCTATTCAGGAAGGCAAGTGGAGAAGCGGAGCAGGGAGCACCCGCAGGCAGGGAGGGCTCTGTCCTGCTGGGCTCATCCTGCTGGCTCTGCTGCAATTTCGGTTGTGCCCCAGCACCACAGGGAAGCTCAGGAGCACATTCAGGGCAGCTCATTTGTGCTCTTCCTGACCAAGTCACTGGTGTGAGCTCCAAGAGGGAACAAAGCTCCCAGCTAAAAAATGCCCCAGTCAGATRTTACTGCCACATCATGCGATGGAAATGGCTGGAAAAGCGGCAGAGGAACATTTCTCAGTAAACACATATTTCAGATTTCTTTTCTGGTGCACAACCTGTGAACACTGCTATCCTTTGTTTCCTCCCTCGTACTGAGATGAAGCCTGATGTGTTCTAAAATTTGTTACCACGCTCTAAAATACTAAGATGAATATATTCATTTTTACCATGCAATGAGAAAAGATGTTCCTGGTACCTGCAACAGCAAGACTTAGAGCAGGTAGCAGACTGAAAGCAGCACTAAAAGAGCCAAATAAATAGCAGCATTTTTCCTGCAAATTTCAAGAATTAAACCTACATGACCATTTATCATTGCATGAAATGGCACGTCTACCACCAGACACATTGATAAACGAAACACACCTTCCATCCATCTCTTTAATGGCACATTAGTGTCATGGATTTGCCATGCACACCAAAACACTGAATTCTACCTAGGCCCTTCTTAATTGCCCAAGAAGGCGGTAATTTATGGACTTGACCATAATGACTTGAACACATTTGTTCAATCAATTTTATGCCTTAATTGAAATTTGTGGCTTAATGAGAAAAATCATGGAATTAAGTGCTTAGACAGTTGTATCTTTAAAGCAGAACACAGATGTCAGGTTCTATTAGTGGTCAACTTTCCTAATATATTTTAGGGGTACATTTTTTTATAGCATATGCCAGATAGTGAGACAAATTTCAAGAAGAAATAACAAGCTTTGTGGGAAATCTCAGCCGCTGCTGTGATAATTTTCTCTTTGATGCTGCAGCATCAATATTCTAGTCAGATGTGGCACTGGTGCCCGACTACCGCTAAATTTATGGTTTTTCAGCGTGTTCCCAAGCAGAACGCTTACTGTATCCCCATCCCCATCTGGAACTGAAACAACTTGGCATTTTTCAGCTGCCAGGACTCTCACAGCTACAATTGACAGCAAGCACAATTTTTACAGTTACTGAGCCCCTTCTACAACTGTATTTGTGTTATAAAGAGGCTGTGCATTAATCTAGAGAGCCACTCAGACCTAAGAATCACAYGGAAACACTACTGCAAAGGCTGCTGAATTAGCTTGCAAGCTCTCTGCTGGCTCGTGATGGAAACGGGGGACTAAGCACACGTACCTCGGAGAACTGCAGCCTTCCAAAATCACTCGGTGGACTTGCAATCTTGAAGACTTTCTTGGGCATCACCCACGTTTCCAAAGTTTCTAGCTTACTGACAGCCAGGTTGGTCGCATGGTATCTGATTAGGAAGCCCTGGAAGCGATCAGCAAGGAAGTAAAGGTGGACTGAAATRGGATGGCCCATGGGATAGTACCTGTAAAAACAACACAAGCGCATGCTCATCACCCACATGCAAGACAAGAAATGACATTTCCTTGGAGATAACGGCTTCAGGAGCCTGCATTGCAATTAGAAGATTCACTGCTGTTACAAGATCTCAGATGTGTTCATTACTCATTATCAAATATGTGTAAGCYGCTCTGATTACCCTGAAATATAAAGACTGTTACTAAGAATATATGCCCATTTAGAAGCCCTTCACAACCGTAAACTTTTCAGGAGCATCTTTGCATGCCAGAAAGCTCCAGTCCCTCACGACCTCCTGTGGGTAAGAAGCCCTACCCAGGACCTGTCTGCTAGACTGGGAGATGGTCAAGAAGTGTCTGCTCTGTCTGGAGTCAGGGGGTCTCCTTTCCTTCTGCCTTCAGAGGTGCTGATGGGGCCGTGACTCACTGGCGCTGCCCGCAAGCTGCGGGATGGGGACAGCGGAGGGTGCTGCAAGGCCGGCGAGGCGCCCACATCCCCCCGACCACCCGCTCCTTCCCGGGGCGACGTGCAGCAGGAACCAGGCCCACCTTTAGGAAATGAACTTCACCCCCGTGAACGGCTTGAATTGCTCCTGCCAAGAAWTTTTTTTTACTCATAATTAAAAAACAACCCCAGTCAAGCAACCAGGGTAAGAAAATCCAAACAGGAGATCTGGAAGCCTTTAGTTACAGTGTGGCCATTTGCTCCTTTGCAGTCATGGGTTCAAATGATCAAAATCTAGGGCCCACTGTCCTCAGAAAGGTTTTTGTAATGATAAATGTGGGTATGAGGTGTCTGTAGATATGGATATATAAGTAAGCAAGTAGGATGCTTTTCATGGCCTCTAAAGWGAGTAATTTGTTATCTTGCAGAACTGACATTAACTGCAAAATGAGTGTATTTGTAATCTGTTTAAAACCAGCTGGTATCACTGGTTCCCAGGAAATTAAGTCAGCTAAGACTGACCCCTCATCTTGGTTATCCCAGCTTCAGAGGCCAGCATTAAGAACAGCCAACCRGTGATGACTGTCAATTCCTCAGATCCATAACACCCCGGAGGGACTCTCTAGAGCTTGAGAAATAAACCCAGTGAGCTGGGTACAAGCCGGGCCAGGCAGAACCACAGCAAAGCTCTGCAGCCAATGCAAGCAACAGCCCAGCTCCTGTTCTGAGTACTAAGGCCTCCTGTTTTATATGTCTGCAGCAACAAATATTTACCATGTCCTTGAAATAGCCCGAGTAAATTGTCTCTTGGCAGCAGTGAGTAAAAAATGCCTAGAGATGGGGAGAAATAAATTAAATCTCAATCACACGTTAGTGTTGCTTCCACCGAAGATGCTGAGTCGGGAGTGCAAACTTCACGCTGCTCTCAGCCCTCGCAGACAAGGGAAGATTGCTGAGGTGCTCTGCCTAAATACACCCCTTCTGCTGCTGCCTGAGAGACGCTGCACTAGATGATCTCTGAAGGGCCCTTTCAACCTTAAGGATTCTGTGACTCTATGTGCAAAATTACAAGTGGGGATGAAGAATCGTACACATGTGTACACCTAGCAAGGCAGCAGAGCATCAAGAGAGAAGAGAGGCAACACAYAAACCTGAGGGTTACCTACTTCTCTGTGACTTAATTTGGACAGTGAGTAGCGGTGCTTTGAGAGGGTTGCCTGGGTGTTCAAATGCAGCCTTCACGCAGCAGGCCTGCTTGCAGTTCCTCCCCGTGCCATCTCACGAGGCTCCAGCCTGCAGGGGAGCAGTGTTTCATCCCAGGGACAGCTGCAATCAGTGGCAGGTGACACGAGTCCCTATCTATAACCTGAGCAAGCTTGAAAAGCACCTTGAGCTCCTGGGGAATGAAAAGCTCCCCAGAAATGAATCTGATTATTGCTATAAATCATCATAAGGTCATTGGCAAAAGGAATAAGCACAAAAGTAATGGCAAAGTTATTTTAGTACTGGTTATACATAGCTCCCATGCTGTCCTCTGGTTTCACTGTACAGGACAAATGAGCCAGGAATTCCTCAGGTCTGTCTTTACTTCATAGAAGGGAATGCATTCTACTTGGGATTATTTGCGGCCCATTATTTGTATCTGTTATTGCATCAGGGATAGTTCTGAAGCCTGAACTAGAAAGGCAAAGTAAGACTTTAAATACATTTTTTGATTTGTTTTTCTTTTTTTTTCCCCTGCTCTAAAGACTTTATTTATTATATCTCTATGTAAATATACATACAGGTTATTTATTTGATGTTTATGGATCCCACCTGTTGCAACACTTTCAGCATCAGCAAACAAGCAAACTGAGACCACGCAACCAGGTCTTTCTGTGCCGTATGTGCACCCAAAGGAATGAACCGGCAAGGACCATTAACTTGCCCACATTTATATTAATTCTTAAATCCCGTCTCTGCTTTTGGTCTGCATAATAAAGGTGAACATGACCTCTGCTGAAATCACACTGAGGGTTTACGGGCGGTGGGTATAATATACTCACTGAAATTAATAAAGAAAATGCAGCAGCAGGGGTGTTGCTGCCCAACTGGAACGTGTCGGTGTTGATTAGGCTGTGGAGTAGCTCCTTAAAAGTGCAACAACCAAGTGCTACAATGTCACCCCAWATCCACTGCCTTACTGTTGGCAGGAACACTGTGGGAAATGGGTGCCTTCCCCATCCTGCTGCCTGGCCTTGCATGAAACCAGCCCCGGGCTGCAGGGCCGTGCAGCTCAGTGTCCTTCAGGCAACGTCCCCTGAGTGTCCCCTGGCAATCAGGTCTGTCTGCTCTGAAGCACCCAAACCTACCTCCTTCCATGGAAACCCAGGGAACTGCTGACCCCCCAGTGAATCCGGCTCCCACCGACAGAAAGGAAGAGGATTCGCACTAACCGGCAGCTGTTGTCTCCGGCGGCGTGAAACGACGTCTCAGCTCTGCGCAGGCCCAGGCGCAAGAACGAGTGGTACATGGTGAGCGCCACGTCGCTGAGCGTGTGGATGCCGTCGGGCTCGTCGTACACGTTCTCCCAGTAGGACCTGAGACCCGGCGTGCCGGACGGGTAGTTCCCGTACAAGTAATAGTCCAGCTGSCCAATTATCTCCTGGTTCACCACAGCTTCAAACTTGCGGGCAAAGAACGTTGGCCTGGCCGTCTGCTGTGGTAAGATGAAAGAAAAAGAAACTGGGGTTGGTTCCTGCTTCCCACCACAATTCCTTGTGCTAAGCACAGGGTTRGAGTGGAGCACTCATAGATTTTGCCCACAGGCAAAGATGACTTGACTGGCAAAGGGTGCTCAGTCCCAGATAAAAACTACGCAATTACTCAGCATGGATGGAGATGGTTTTGGTCTGCTGCAAAAATGGAGAGTCCTCCCCTGTCCCCACAGGCCTCTCCTGTGGAGGACAGGGAGGTCCTGGCTATCAGGTCTGTCTTTGCAACTGAAAGATAAGAAGTGGCTTGCAGGRCCAGTAAGCCACTAGCCAAAGTATAGGTCAGGCTGAGATGAGGAAACAAGATATTGCAGGGTTAAATTGAAAAGCAGCAGTCCTTGGAGTCTGCCACAACTGATCAGTAATTCAGTTTGAACTTAGAACTGCTCASAGCAGGTGGTTGAACTAGTGACCTTCAGGAGTCCTTCCATCCTCAGCTATTGTCCAATCACCAAATCTACATTAAACGCAGTAATTCAATACTGAAAGACATGAGTTTGCATTTTGTCAGACGTCCYGTAGTACTGTGCAGGCAGGACTGCATCACCCGTGCCCAGAGYAGGCACAAGATCTCTTAGGAGATGACTGGTCTTACGTTCATGTCCTGTCCTGGGRTAAAGTTTCACCCTTCCAGAATAAAGGAGTAACTGAGGAGTAAGCTGACAGTGACCAAGRAGGACAGAGGAGAAGTAGCAGCATGACAGCGTTTTCCCCAACTATTAATAGGTTTCAAGGGCCTCTTCCAGTGTCTATCAGTGGGTCACCCCACTTCAGAGAAGGGCAAGCTCAGGCTACAGGAAAACATACTGCATGATTGCATTAAGGCCCAATTGAACAGGGTGAYGAGCATCACCACAGCCCCATTCTCTGCACACTGTCACTGGAAACAACCTGCTCCTCCTGCATTCTCAGACAGCACTGCATTCAAATGAAGGGAAAATGCTAAACCATTTCAGGGGATTAAAATGACGGCAAGTGAGATTCTATGTCTGTTATTAATAGGTGGGATGTGAAAACAAATCCAGTTAAAGAGAAATGGAAAGCTTAAGGAAAATCATGGGTTACACTGTTATGCCTCAAAGCGATAGAAGAGGCTCCTTTGCTGCTTACTGGGACAATGGATTTCAGAGACCTGCACATAAATAATTTCTGTGAAAAGCATTTTTGAAAGAAGAAAAAAATATAAAATTGCAATACTAAAAAAAATCARGAATTCTCAGTGTATCTCTCTCTTACACTTCACTTGTATTTGTTTAAGGACAGGCAGAATAAATAATAACTTCTACAACTCCATCATTGTGCCCATCAGTTAAATGGCTCCAGTAGATCAGTTATTTTGACATAACGGCTCAGTTAACTCCAGAAGTCAACCTGGATTCATTGGCRTGTGCTTTTAAAATTCAATTCCCAATTCACTTTACAGTAGGATGCATATGCTGCCATAGGGCTTGACTGTTCCCTATAGAAGAGGTGGCCTTATCTATGTCACTGCAATCAGGAAGCCCCACATCTCCATGGGACTCCCCAGACCTGTCCCTGGGCGCTACCAAAAGCAGGACAGGCTGGCTAACCTGCTTATGTCTATCACCTTCCTGCCTAGCTCAGTAAAAATCTTCGGAGAGTCTAAATGAAGTGGAAAAGAAACCTGGATTAGCCACAATCATTTCTTTTAGGCCTGGCTTCAGCAGCACTTGTCTTCAGAGTACGCAAAGGTGATGAACCAAAGTCACAAGAATTACTGCACAGCTTGGGCTCCTTCCCTGCTGTCTGCTCTTTGCATATTTTCAGCAATTCTTTTGAAGCATCTCCTGCTTTTTATTTATTTATGTTAGCACACGGACGCTGATTTGGCCTTCTCAGAATGAACCCTCCAGACCAGACACTCAGCTGATGTCAGGGGAGCCTTCTCCAAACCCTCCCTCTCCCTGTGCTAGCAAACTGCTGTCTGCCTCCTGGGGAAGAAGTACAAATATCTGGATACCAAGAACATGAGAACAGCAGTAGTCTTCTTCCAAAATGCCTGACTGACAGTGAGTAAGCAAAGCAAGAAAAATTCTGTGYGAGAAATCTCAGACCACAACTGTGGTAGCAGATACATTTTCTTCTCTTCTTTGGCCAGTCCCTTTGCACCAAGGACCCACTCCTGCCACCCTGCCCTGGTGGGTGGCCACTCCATGTGCAGATGGCTTTGCAAAATCACTCGTGGAGGACATGTTGGCAAGGACGCTGTGCTGCGCTAGGGGTTGAGTAGGGGGAGCAGAGGACTGCGGCCACAGGGGCTCACTGCTCAGAGGGTCAGGGCTGGATTCAGGCAGTGTTTTATGCAGGTTTCTATGAGGTGCATTTACTTTTCACAATTTCTGTGTTTTTTGGGCCTCTGATGCTCCTCTCTGCGAGCAGTTCACAGCACAGACTGGGTGCTGCGAGGCACGAAGCRGTTTGGGAGCAGCACCTCCCTGGCTAAGGCTCCTCAGCTCCTGCCTGGGCCCCCGCCGCTTTCCCGCTCTGCCTTTGGCAGAACAGGCACCGCCAGTCCCTCCACTGCTCAACTGGCAACCACGAGTTTAAAGACACCTCTATGTTGCCTTGCTTGTCTTTGGGCATGAGTTTTGAGGTGCTGACGAGTTCAAAAGCGCCACAGATCAGATCAGAAAAATTCCGCGGCGGATGTTGGTTCCTGCTGCCRGGCGGCCCGTGCTGCCCCAGGCCCCCAGGGACTGGGTGCTCCCAGCAGGGGCCCTGCACCAGGCACAGGCCAGAAACTGCCGTTTCAGCAAGCCTAAGTCTGAACTCTCTCTTGCTGCTCAGTTCACCTGCAAGTGTCCCGAGAGGCTCCTGGGTTCCTTTCCCAGCCCCAAGCCCCTTAGCCTCTGCAGACTTCCAGGAGCTTTATAAGACTTCCCATGTGCTCTGTGCTGGGGACTTTTCTAAGATGGGAGTTTGGGAAAGCAGAGGCTCTCTTAGTTAATGTCTCATTTGCTCTTTTTGTGTCTGTGTCACTGACTTCAACTGTGCCTGGTAGGCAGCACATTACAATAAAGAAAAGATCCCTGTTTTGAAGAAGTCATCATTTTTGTGCTGTAGGGTAACACACTCCCCATCCCACACAAAGCCTGAACAAACATGCTTTATGCAGGGAGCCCTGAGGAGCTGCAGGGTTGGAATCGCAAATCGGGCAACCTCAAAACGAGCTGTTGTTCATTCTTAATAGAATAGGCCAGATACAGTCTTGAGACCAAGTGCATCCTTGAACACAAGCATTTGCTCTCATTTGCCTGGAGGAAACTCTCTCACAAAGGAACCAATTTAACTTTTTAAGGCAGTACTGCTAAACCTGGGTGACCAAAACCTCATGACTCTGACCTCCAAACCATGAGATCAACTTAAATATAATCACGCTTAAGAATAAATTAATGAAAACAGTTTTGCTTTGTGCTATGTAAGCATCTAACAGGTATGTGTCAGATGTGTCAGGTTTCCTCCCTTCCTAGCACAGCAGACTCACCAGTGGGAAGGCTCCCAAGAGCTGTGTCACGATCTTGTTGCCCAGTGCTAAGTCTCAAGGGSCAAAACAAGGGAAAAGAGACTCTTCCTTCCCCTAAGCTACAGACACCATGCAGCTACACTGCTCTGCACACCCAGGAACAAGGGKGAGAAACCTTCCTAGGGGAAACCAGGGAAGGGAACACTTCAGTTACCTGGAACCTGTGGAAGTCTGCAGGTTTGAAGTCGTTAGGTGAGCAGCCACACCAGTCTACAATGTGCTTGTACTGACATTTGCAACCAAGTTTACGGTTCCAGTTCGTGATACGCAAATTGTTGTCCACCATGGAGTCACAGTATGGGCTGTTTTCCAGGACCGTGTGAAAGAAGGACTGCAAGAAGAAACAAACAACAAAAAAAAAGAGACCAGATCAGTACATACACCTCTTCAGACTTCCATTTTCTCTCTCAGTGCAGTCTGCAGGCCTGAAATGARTCCAGGTGACTTATTTTCTTTCAGAAAGAGAGGATGAACAACTTCTATTGTTTTGCCATGTATAGAAGACATTCCACACGTACGCATTCTATAGAGCATGAAAAATTATAGCACACAACAGATAGAGCCAAACAATAACAGCACACAGTCGAGGGCATGCTGCAATAAGTTGGCCCAGAATAATGACTAGCTTTGGACACTAGAGTGAAAAGGCACCAATGCCASCAATTATTTTATTTTTATTTCAGCTGTATGAGCAATTCTAAGAAATTCCCATTATTTCTCTTCAGCAAGCTACTCTCTGGGCCAGCAGATTCAGGGCTATTTTCCCAAGCAATGTGTTGATGATAAATTTCAAATTGTTTCTTGACAATTCTCAAACTTCAGCTGCCACCCTGGCTGCTATGAAAAATACAATTGCAGAGGGCAACTCTGGCAGGCTCYGAGTGTGCAGCTCTCTGAGATGTACTGCGAGTTGATTGGCCTTGCACTGAAATATACAGTTCAGCCCTGGCCAGAAAGCCAGGCCACCTCCTGCAATTAGATCTGAAACCATAAGTCTCTATTTGCTGACTCARGACAGCAAGGAATTCCTATTGGGCTATCCTGATTATATCACCGTAATATTAGCTATCACATAAATCGTGGGTAATGGGGACTGATACAGCAGGTTAACAGGTCAGGGAAGGCAGGGTGATTTTATGAAGCCAGACATGTATCTTGTAAAGAAAAAYCTTGTAGAGAGAAGCAAGAGAATATGATCAAATTTAGCTCTCTAAACCAGGATTCTAACAGCAGTGACTTCTTCGAATCAGCTACAGCACAATCTATAAATAACTGGCATACCATTAGAATCATAGAATCAGTATGGYTGGAGAAGACCGAGATATGGTAATTGGGTAAAAGATGCATAAATATGRTTATAATGCCCAAATATGGTCAAAAACACCCATATATGGTCACAGTGGCCGTGTTTGGTCATACAAAAAGCCTTATATTGTCAAAATTACCAAATACGGTAGAAATGTCTAAATATGGCAATCTGGCTATGGATAAATATAGAGAGTGGATGAGAGGGAGTGTAACATCATTATTTATTTAGAAATATCCCCAATTCTGACTTCCATTCAGTGGAAATGAGTATTATACTTGTATTTTAAATACTGAGCACAAAATATTTTGCAAATGCATCTATATGTGTGAATACCCCTTGTAGAAAAAGCCTTTAATAGGGAATGAACCAGGTATTTATAGATGCTTCATTAGYGATTTCATTAATCTGCTCGAGTTTTCTGTTCCAAATCAAATTTCAGTATAATAATGTCAGTTGTCAGCAATTACTTTAACAAGAATTTAAAACCCGTAACAGAAGTGTCTCKGTTAAATTCTGCTCCGTAACTGCAGGGGAAAGCATTGCCTAGCAGGAAATGATTAAACAGGACACTGCTATACACGGGAGAGCATCACGCTGCTCTGCGTGATCAGAGCCTAAACCCTCTCCTTTTCACACCTCCATCGGTGGCTGCCTGGTGCCTTCCAGCCCTGACCTGGTGTTGCCGTGCAGCGGGGCTGGGAGCRGGCAGGGAGAAAAACGCTGCCTATAAATAGAGGAGAAGAGCACGGTGAGGAATCACTGCAGCCTCCTTGTTTGTTTTCTGTAACATGATATGGAGAGCGCTAATTGGATTAGCCTTTCGGGACGAAYGATAACAACGTAGAAAAGCAAATGTTAATAGGCAGCATGCTAACAAAGTAGAAAATTGCTAATATAAAAAAAAGCTAATAAAATTCAATAGGCCTAATTTTAAGTTTGACAGGATGGCCAGCTCTGAGAACTCAGAGGTGAGTGAAACAAAAGGTGGGCTGGTAGAAGGGCAGCGCCTGCCCAAGTGGCTGCGTCCTCCCACTGCTGCTCCTGCCAGAGACTGCCCTCAGTCACCTGGAAAGGACAAACTGCTCTGCTTTAAAATAATCAAATCTAAAGGTATTACCTGTGCAGAAATGCGTGTGTGAAAATATATGCCTGATAACCCCTGAAACATGGTGCAGTGGGAGAGGTGGCAGAGCAAAGGTGCCCAAGGGAGCTAATATTTCCCCTAAAACTCCCTGATTACCTGGGCTGCATCCCAGGACTCATTAAAGTATCTCAGCCGACATCCTCTGGCCATGACACATGTTTCAATGCTAAGAAAAGCTTTGAAAATTCTTCTACTAAAAGAAAAAAAAAAATCTGAATAAAGACTCCAAGCTCAAAGCCTGATGTTGTAAAGAAACTGAGCGCATGGCCAGAAAGAGCAGAGAGCAGCATGGCTGGCCCCCAAATAATCCCCCTACCCTTTTTAATGTTAAATGACAGCTCAGTGAATATGGATTTTATGCTTGAATTGTTTGGTTAAACCCATAAAGGCATCTATTCTCATTCAAGCGCGAGGGAAGRAAAAACCCTACCCAATTACCCATTGCCCTGTGTCCTTTCATAATGATACAGAAATTTCTGCTAGATAATGGATGAAAGGGTTATCAGAGTTGAGAGAAAAGGTGATTTTTTAACAGAAATGGGATTAAAGCAAGATTATTCAACGTGTGTGTGGAATAATAAACCTCTATCAAAAGATGACAACCGCTGTGCTCTGCTGCAAGCTAATAAGCCTAAATTTGCAAGACTGTTCTCATGGATCCCTCCAACTGTTCAGGAGCCGCCACTGTGGAGGAAGTTGGGTCTTTCTCGGGTGCCGGGAGGAGAGCTGGGGTGGTGGGCAGCGACGGAGCCGCTGCTGCAGGAGCCCAGCAGCTGCCCAGGTGCTGGAAGGGCTTCAGCAGGTGCCTGTCAGCCCAGCTTCCCCAAAGCACCAACCTTTGAGGAGTTTTTACATGCAAAAAGGCTGGGTAACAACGAGGAAAGCTGCTTCAGGAGACAATTCACTCTTTCTACAGCCTTCCAAGTCTTTGTGGAGCAACAATATGCAAGCAAAGGGCAGCTGGATTTTTGATTGCTCAGTAGCAGGTTGATGGGTTCAAAAGTACTAAACTAAAGCCGCTGCTTGCAAAACGGTCCCACAAACGCACCAACTCAGCAACAGCAGCTGTAATAATAAAGGACTGATTTGTCATGAAGGTAAAACTCCCGTTACCAACAGCGGGATGATCCAAAGCCTGCTGGAAGTGGGGAAACGCCTCTCTGATGTCAACTGTCCTTGGGACAAGCAAAGGAGATGCAATTCCGAGAAAAGAGAGACTGCTCTGAATCCACGTACCTCAGCAGGCAGTAGAGTGTATGAGTAAAATCTCTTCATCTTTGTTACCAAGTCGTCATTGGAGAAAGTGATGTACTCCACAAACTTCCTGTTCAGGAGGAACCAGTCGGATCCCCCATCGACCGCGATTCCTTCGGGGATCTGCCGGTCCCCCAACCGCCACATGTGGGTATCACATTCCAGGAAAAGCCGATCCAGCCCTTGTTTCCTGATAAATCTGAGGGAATACAAAAGCAGTCATTAAGAGTTAATCTGTATATTGTTTGCACCAGCTCGATAATTAAAGCAGCTACTCTCCCAAACAAAAAGGGATAAAAGGTCACTGTTTATATTAGTTCTATTCACAAATAATGTAGAGCAGTTTAATAAATGATTAATCAGTTATATATTTCAGTTAGAGGGGCAAAGATCAACAGATTTCTTTTAAGCATCGCTTGCACCTTCAACTGATCTGAGTCAGAACTACACAAGCTACAGGGCTCTGCTGGCACATCTCTAACACGCATTAACTCTTTGCAAACCACTGCAGAAGACCCATAACAGGAACACGAGCAAAAAACCATCTATGTAATAGACTTCTGCATCTAAATAAATKAACGTGTTTGAAAAACTGCAAACTGTACATAAAACCAAAATGACCAATTTTCTCCTGTGTTGTTATTCCGTGAATCTTTCTCCTGGTGTATGGTTAATTAGAAAGAAGTACAATTGCATTGCTCTTTGCCATGGCATGAGTATATTTGCTCCATTTTCAAGTCTGCAGGGAAAAATATTTTGTTTATTGCTGAACCATGGATAAAAAGAACTGTAGAATTGCAATGTTATGGAAATGCATTATTTGAGACCACTGTAACATGAAAAAGGAGTTAGAAAATCAATCTGTATTTGAAAACACTTTGGTTTGGATGCCCACGGGTGTTCGGGGACTGCCTGGTACAGGTTTTTATTTGTTACCCATTTTCAGAATTACTCCCCAGCAAGTGAAGCCTGGCAGTCGTGAATTAGCACACACTCTCAGAAGGGTTGAATTCCACTAATAACAGCAAGTTGCTGTATTCAACACATCCCATACATTGCGAGGAATAATAAATGTTAGCTACCCAGACTGTTTATAGTCACTAACACCCACAGCTAATGGGCCCCAACCACAGACCTGCCCAGATTTAAGAACTGCAGCTGAACTGGAGCTGCAGCACCTACAGCAGAAGGGGCAGTGTAAGAACCGGCCCTAGGTCTCGCCTTCCATACCTAAAAATCTGAGTCCTTTGCCACACAGTAGACTAAATTTAGGTTGAAGGTTCATTTTGGATCAGTCTGAGAACTGAGACAACATTAGGAAATGGGCATACCTTAATTTTCACAAGCACCATATATGTCTTCAGGGTCTGTCTCCCACTGATAGCTATATTCCTCCTCACAGTATGAGCAAGAAGGCTCCTCTGTTGATACCACAGTGAAGGGAATGTGTGGGTGAGAGGGGAGAAATTTTTCTTTCCATGAACAAGTTTCTAATTTCATGTTCCATTATGAAGGATAATAGAAAAGTCTTGCAATTTTAATGCAGTGCTCTGGAATTTAATCTTCAAACTCAATATTTATGCAGTTATCTCCATATCAAATATTAATGTGCCTGAAAGTTTGGTCATTTAATTCGTTCGAAACTAAATGCTCATTTGAGTTAATTATTTTAAGAAAATAATAGATTATTGACTATATATAAATAGGGACATAAAGTTCTTCTCCATTAAATGTCCTTTTTTTTTCAGCTATCGTTATCAATTTATCGTCTTGTACTCTCACGCTCAAATAAAGTTTCTTTGATTGCAAGAGGTGCACCCTCAAAGCAAATAAAACAGAAAAAAACAAAACTCCGACTATTTCTAAAACCTCCCAACATAGAAACTACCTAAGCCTGCACAACATGCCGTGCTTTGCAATCAGCTCATGTCAGAAAGCTCCATGATACAAATGCAGCCTTATTGTGTGGAGCTAGCAGTGGAAGAGTGAGCCACATACAGCACGTGAAGGTCCCACCAGCAAACCTGGCCTTGCTGCTTCAGCTCTTCCAAGCAAGTCAACGGACTCCCCGTTTGCACGTGTGCACAACTGGATGATTATTGGAGTTAATGGCTTGGACAAGCAACTCGTCAGCACATGCACTGAAATACGACGTAATTAGTCCTTGGGAACGAGTGATTTCATAAGAAATTCCAGTGCTCAAATCTTATGGCAAGAGGATATTTCAAGAAAACTAAATGTAGTTTCCAACTATTCATCCTATAGAAAGGTGGCATAGCCCAGTTCAAGAGCAGCAATATCTGGAGAGCTGCAAAGGAACAACCCCTTTGTTAATGCTTCTTTAAGCCTTTCTAGAAACTTTATATTAGGTTTTAAATATGTCAGCTTTTAAATAGCAATAACAACCTAAACGGGAGAACACCCTTCTTGGAAGGATCRCTCTTACTAGGCCTACTTCATATATAGTTATTACACCTAAGCACTAAACTGTACTAGCGTTGCAAGTAACTGCCCTTTATCTATGAAGCAATAATTTATACAAGGAGCTCTGAAGCCACAGCTCTCCACTGGGTGACTGCTCATTATCCATTTATGCTCCTTGAGCGCCAAGGAAATCCAGCATATTTGCGATGCCAAGAAGCTAAATAAACCTAGATGCAAATAAACCAAGGATGCAATGAGCTCCTCTAGCAGGCCCAGGCTGGCTGGCAGCAGAGAGCAGAGCCAGGCATGGAAGTGAAAGAGGTGGACACAGGATTCCTTTGCTCCAGAGTTTCTTCTAGGATGACTAACGGCACCAAGCTGCTCCAGTAGAAGTGATTATGAAAGTCAAGGAAGCAAGAACTGTCTCTAGGCATCCTGCCTACTGCTTGAGGGAAGGGAGAGGTGCTACCTGGATGGCTTGGAGGCCTCTTCAAGACACCAAAATCCCTAGCACACTGCGAACAGTTCACAAGGATTCTTGACTCACTGTCCAACAGCATCTAGATCAAGCTGCCTCTGAAAAGAAAGGTAGGATGGAAGGCAAAACCTTGACCCTAGTGATTTGTTTCTTGTCTGGTGCTGCATTTCCTTAGTTTCTGGTCATGTTCAACTCAGACCCCAAAGTGTGTACTTGATGAAGACATTCCAAGCACCCAAGGGAGCAATGAAATGCACACACTGGTGATTCTCCCTTCAAGTCTCTCTCTCTCAGATTTTATAGGACCCTAGAATATAATTCCCAAGATAGAGCATAAAAAAAAACAGATTAACGATAGCACTTCATTAATCTTAGTCAAAGCGGACAACTTTAGGTGCCCTCTGGCGCCCTAAACTTTGGGTAAGACTAGCACATTTTGCTGACAGACGATGTACTTCCAGGACAACAATATGTAATTGTACAGAGATGTGGTTAGCCACGCACAGTGCAGATTGCCCTCAGGTAAAGACAGTTGGCTTTTCCCTGATCTAGGACAAGCAATGGGAAGAAAACAAGGATGATATGAAGAAAGAGTCAACTATGAGAAAATAAAATAGACAAAGGTTCAAAAAAAAGCATCTTATTTTACCTTATTCCACAGATCACTCCATCTATGATGTTTTATATAAATTCTTAATCAATTTTTATTTCTCATAAAGAGCCTGTAATTTTGTGGAGGTTGGATTGCATTTGCAGCTAACCAGCAGGAAGAGTATAATATTTATATGTCTTGCTAGCTGAGTTCATCAATCAGGCAACTAAAAGTGTGCAAGCTGCCATTTGCGCCCTGACTAAGTGTGAATGCAGCCTCAAGGTTTACATATTCTGGGTTATTATTTTTATGCTTTGTTAAAACAAACAAACACCTAATTGTAACACATGGTGTGTCACACTAGCTATAGTTAGTTAACTGCCTAAAAAGCTCATGACTGATATATGTCTTAGAGACTGCCTTTCACTTTGTAGTATATTTAAATATTTATAAATACATTTAAGAGCACATTGCAGGAATCTTTAACACATATAATGCCAGTAAGATGTTTAACAAAGCTCCTACAACACAAATATAAACAAATGACTCAGTGCTTCCTGCAATATATTTAAATTACTAATAAATAATGTGGCATAGTTACTTAAAAGCAGAAAAAAAATCACAAGCAAATCTCAGCCTTCTGAATAGCTTTTAGCAAGTGCCACTGCATAGCACTGCAACTCTGAAGCCCATCACTCCTGAACGCTCATGTTTTTATAACATATAAAGAGTTTTGTCATTTTCTGGTTTCCAGAGCCCATGAACGAATAAAGCTTTCTCAAGCATYGGAAGCTACCAGGTAGTAAAACTCTACTTATTAGTAAGATCACTACTGAAAGCTTTGGGTCTGTAAAGAATATATTTTTAAGCAGGAAGAGCTTCCTCTTCCTAAATGCTCGGAGGTTCTGGCCTCTCGCCTAGAAAGCCTGCTGCCAACATTCCCTGCYAACCACACGGCTCTACCAAGAGCTTATTATCATCATTCACTACACAAGAATAAAAACTATAAGCAAAAGTCAGGGATATATCAGAAGGAGTATCGTGTGCAGAAAGTCAATGTCAAAGGAAAGAACCACAGGGCTTGGAGCCAGACTACGACTACAACATTGTTCTCTTGAACATACAGAAAGAAACCCTGCATGTTGTTTTGACTGTATCCACCACTCTTAAAACTCACTTTAGACAAATATGTGAAGAATTTGGGTAAAAAACGCCAAGTAAATATTTCTATGGCTATAGCATACATGTGAGGCTGACTCCGAGTAGTGTCTCCTAACCACCTGGAAGCGCTTCCTGGAATCCATATAGATGACGAAGAAGAAAGCACACAATAATGACTGGCCTATCCTGAATGCAACAAATAATTTGTGAGCAGTCCATAAACTACAACCTATCTCCAAAACCCAGCCATTCTTTGTAACAAGCAGGGTCATGAAATGCAAAGCTGCACAGAGCAGTTGCGTTCCCTGACCTGCAGGCACACAGATCTTGGCCTTTCGCAAATATCTGATGAAATTCCAGTTGCTTGCAACACAACCCTGCTTTCACCCCATTTCCATGAGGAACCCTCTTTCATGAAGAATTACACAGTATTTAAAAAATCTGAAATAATTAACAATTGCCAATTTAAGGACAGTGCCCACACTGTGCCTGATAAGCATCTGCTTTTCTAAAGATGCGATCGTGCGGTATTTTCTCAAGGCCT